TTGGTCACTACCAGTCCAGCTGCCCCGCCAAAAAACAGATTCTCGGGCCTAGCTTGCCCTGGCCAGTGAATTCTGTGGATCTGTTCCAAGCTCCTGAGGACTTGCCACCACCCCCTTCAGACTGGGATCTTGCTCCTGCAGACAAGGACACCCCCCCAGGAGTCTTTGGCCTACAGCCGGTGGGGGCCCCTACCCAGAGCCTCCAAGGAAAGCACTTGCAAGAGGTCACTGTGGATAAACAAAAGGCGGTGGGCTTCCGAGACTCAGGGGCCTTCCTCACCATTGTGGGCCCCCGAGTGGTGAACCCTGATGCTGTACAGCCTGGCCCTATGATAGTGATTCAACTAGCAGGGGGCACCAAACGCTTCATCCCTCTTGCTACCGTCAATCTGGACTATGGCTTGGGGCCTAAACGCTGCAACGTGGGTGTAATGGGAGGACTGCCTGCAGATGTGCTTCTTGGGAATGATGTGGGCGATCTTCAATGCCACTTTGTGGGAGCCGTCACACGAAGTCAGGCCTGCCGGGAAACTGCTGAGAGGAAGGAGTCACCCCAGAATGTGGGTGGACCTCCGCTGCCCATGGTGTGTGACTCAACTCTGACTGCTGACAATGCTGGGGTGACATGGGACCGGGACAAGTTTCAAGGGGACTTAGCCACCGACCCTACTCTGACAAGTTTCTGGGCCCGAGCAGGGCTGACTGGTCCGGGGACCGGCGAAAGGATAGTGCAGGAAAATGGGTTGCTGTACCGAGTGGTGGAGACCGACGCCGAAGGGGGGGGGCCCCAGACCGTGGCTAAACAGCTGATAGTTCCCCAACAATTCTGGACACAACTGCTACACCTTGCTCACGATATTCCCAGGGAAAGCTACGGACCGAAAGGAGGTTGGCCCAGGCCTTCTATTGGCCTGGGATGTCCCAATCGGTAGCTCGCTACTGCCGTACCTGCGATACCTGTCAGCGACATGGAAGAACAGGTGGCCTGCGGGCCCCCTTACAGCCCCTACCCATTATTGAGGAGCCATTCCAACGAGTAGCTATTGACATTCTGGGCCCCTTATCTCACCCCAGCAAATCTGGAAAGCGGTACATCCTGACCATCGTGGACTATGCTACTCGTTATCCCGAAGCAGTTGCCCTGTCCAGCATCACAGCTCCCAAAGTTGCAGAAGCCATGGTTACTGTTTTCACCCGAGTGGGCTTCCCTGCTGAAATCCTGTCAGATCAGGGGACTCAGTTCATGTCAGGCCTTGTTCAGTCCCTCTGGCAGACCTGTGGAGTGCGGGCCATCCGGACAAGCCCCTATCACCCCCAGAGCAATGGACTGTGTGAACGCTTCAACGGGACCCTGAAGGCCATGCTACGGGCCTTTGTAGACCTAGAGCCAGACTGGGAAAGATACCTGCCCCACCTCCTCTTTGCCTACTGGGAGGTGCCGCAGGAATCTACCGGATTTTCCCCCTTTGAACTGCTGTATGGGCGGAAAATCCGCGGCCCCTTGACCCTACTGAAGGAATACTGGGAGGGTCAACTACCAGATACCGGGGTCCCTGTGGTGCCCTATGTCTTGGAACTGCATGAAAAGATGGGACAACTGGCCGGCCTAGCAGCTGACCATCTCCAAGCAGCCCAGGTCCGGCAAAAGACATGGTATGACCGCAAGGCACGCACCCGGGAGTTTACTGAAAACCAACAGGTCCTCATGATTGTCCCAAATCCCCAGAACGAATTGCAAACCACATGGGAGGGACCCTTCCGTGTCATTAGGAAAGTGAATGACAATAACTATATTCTTGTACTAGATGATCGGGGGAGACGGCAGAAAACGGTGCATGTCAATATGATCAAGGAGTACCATGACCGAAACCCCCTTGTTATGGCCGTCTGCCCAATGCCCTCTGAGGAGGAGGAAGAGGCCGTATCGGACCTCCTGGAAGCAGCACGCCATCCAACGGATGTGCACCAGGTGCCCCTGAGTCTGCAGCTGAACCCGGGGCAACAGAGGGCCATGAATGCTGTCCTGGGCCAGCGCAGTTCCGCTTTTTCGGCATGGCCTGGAAAAACTACTATCACCACTCACCATGTGGAGACCCCGGGAACCCGGCCCCTCCAACAAGCCCCATATCGCATCCCCCGAAGCTGTTAAGAACACTATGAGACAGGAACTGAACAAAATGCTGGATCTGGGAATTATTCAGCCCTCCCATAGCCCCTGGACCTCTCCTGTTGTTCTTGTCCCCAAGAAAGATGGTAGCATCCGCTTTTGTGTTGACTACCGATGCCTCAATGACCACACAGTTAGTGACGACTACGCGATGCCTCGTATCGATGACCTACTGGACCGGCTGGCTGGAGCCCGCTATGTCACTACTCTGGACTTGAGCAAGGGCTACTGGCAAATCCCCTTGTCTTCAGAGGGTCGGGAGCGCTCTGCCTTCATCACCCCCTTTGGCCTGTTCGAGTTTCTCAACATGCCTTTTGGCATGAAGAATGCTCCTGCCACCTTCCAGCGTACGGTGGACCAGCTGCTGTGGGGCTGTCATGACTTTGCCTGCGCCTACCTGGATGACATCGCCATCTTTAGTGAAACACAGGAAGACCACCTCCAGCATGTGGGCTTTGTCCTGGACCGAATTGCAAGGGCCAACCTCACGATTCGACCAGACAAGTGCCAGATGGGGATGGCGGAGGTGCAATATTTAGGACACTGGGTGGGAGGGGGTAAACTGCGCCCAGAACCGGCTAAAATAGAAGCCATTAGGGAATGGCCCACCCCCCAGACCAAGAAATAGGTTATGGAGTTCCTGGGCACTGCTAACTATTACCGCAAATTTGTTCCTCATTTCAGCACGATTGGGAAGCCCCTCACAGATCTCACCAAGAAGACCATGCCCCGGATGGTAACCTGGACCCCGGCCTGCCAGAAACGCATTTGATCGGCTGAAGGAGGCCCTTTCCCATAACCCTGTCCTAACAGCGCCCAACTACCAGCGAAGGTTCCTCGTACAGACAGATGCCTCCACTTATGGGCTGTGGGCCGTCCTCAGCCAGGTAAATGAGGAGGGGGAGGAGCACCCTGTGGCCTTCCTTAGCAGGAAACTATTAGACCGGGAGGTGGCCTATGCCACCATAGAGAAGGAGTGCCTGGCCATAGTGTGGGCATTGAAGAAACTTCAACCCTATTTGTATGGCCGGGAGTTCACCATCCTCACAGACCATAACCCCCTCACCTGGCTGAATCGGGTCTCCGGGGATAATGGCCGCCTCTTACGATGGAGCCTGGCCTTACAACCCTACAATTTCACCATCCAATACCGACGGGGAAGCCAGCACCACAATGCAGATGGGCTGTCCCGTCAGCAAGACCCCCAGTAAATGCAGTCCACAAGTGCCTCTACGGGAACCTGTTGAGGTTCCCCTGGTGGCACTTGTAGAATGGAGGGAGGAGGAGTTGTCACGGAGCTGGTCCTTCCTTCCCCATCCTCCAGGTTTGCCGGCTGCCACCTCCCACCCCTCAGCAGCCCCTCACCCTTCTGTCCCGTCCATGCTGGGACTTCTAGTCCTCCTTGCCCCTGACACAGGCAGCCCTCGGCAGCCCCTTACCCCCCTGGCTTGCAGCCTGGCCTCCTGCTGAAGGAATCCACAAACAGGCCATCTCCTCCCTTCCCCCTCATGCACAAATTCCTAGGCTCCCTGGACAGGTCTGGAGACCTGAGAGACAGGACCCGTTGCCATGGTAACCCGATAGGAAGTATCCGGTTACCAGCTCTATACTTAAGGGTGAGCAGAAAAACCTCTGTGTGTTCTCCTGGCTGCGTGTGTGAGGGAAGGCTGTGCTGAGGGCCAGCTTCTCTCATCCGACCATCCCCCATCCTCCTCCTCATCTCCCGGACTGTCTGTGCTGCCTGGAATCCCTGTACTGTGGAGGGATCTTCTGCTGTCCCCGTGAACCTGCCTGGATCTATCCCCTGCCTGGACTTAACCCCTTTGTTCTCCGTGAACCTGCCTGGACTTAACCCTTCCCTGCCTGGAGCCTCCTGTGTGGACTAACCCTGTGGATTACCATACCCCTGTTGTTCCATATTGCCTTCCAGAGAACTGTACTGTGTTGCTGTGTCTGGTGTGGATCTGTGGACTAAAGGAACTGTTGTCTGTGCCCCAAAAACCTCCCCAATAAAAGCACGTTGGGTTCTGTGCAATCCGTCTGTGTGCTCTCTGGTTCTCTTGACACACATGTACATGACTTCTATTAGCACCCTGTTCTCTATACACAACTTTGTAAATCTTGCATTGTCCTAGCTGTATAAGTTGTAGTACCTGTTGTGCGCAGATCCTGGTATTCAGGCTCCTTTAATGAGTCATGTGTCCATGTCACTCGCATCACACGCTTCAGAAATTTATAGGGAATGATGATACACTCACTTATAGCATCAAATAGTTTCTCATCATTGGTCTGAATAATTTTCTTGGTTGAAGGTAACATTGAAGTGAGTTCTTCGTTGCTCCATTTGATGTTAATGTTTTGAGGATAAAACTTCCTTAAAGTGAGAGAACACAGCACTTGGTCTGATCCAAATGGGGTCACTTTTATATCTTTCTCCTGGGGGGCCACTGGGAGGGAGAAGGAAAAATAAAAAAAAGTAAATAATTCTGTTGCCAGCACATGCCCTGTCGGATAGAAATTTCTAGAACACGAGAGATCACGGAGCTCAAAATATGTACTAAAAACATGATCAGTACTGTACTGAGGCTCTGCCAGTAGTGTCATTTTCAGCATTTTATCTCGGGACATCCACATATACACTATATTGCCAAAAGTATAGGAACAACACCCCTCCAAATCATGTGATTCAGGTGTTCCAATCCCCTCCGAATCATGTGATTCAGGTGTTCCAATCCCCTCCAAATCATGTGATTCAGGTGTTCCAATCCCCTCCAAATCATGTGATTCAGGTGTTCCAATCCCCTCCAAATCATGTGATTCAGGTGTTCCAATCCCCTCCAAATCATGTGATTCAGGTGTTCCAATCCCCTCCAAATCATGTGATTCAGGTGTTCCAATCCCCTCCAAATCATGTGATTCAGGTGTTCCAATCCCCTCCAAATCATGTGATTCAGGTGTTCCAATCCCCTCCAAATCATGTGATTCAGGTGTTCCAATCCCCTCCAAATCATGTGATTCAGGTGTTCCAATCCCCTCCAAATCATGTGATTCAGGTGTTCCAATCCCCTCCAAATCATGTGATTCAGGTGTTCCAATCCCCTCCAATCATGTGATTCAGGTGTTCCATTCCCCTCCAAATCATGTGATTCAGGTGTCCAATCCCCTCCAAATCATGTGATTCAGGTGCTCCAATCCCCTCCAAATCATGTGATTCAGGTGCTCCAATCCCCTCCAAATCATGGGATTCAGGTGCTCCAATCCCCTCCAAATCATGTGATTCAGGTGTTCCAATCCCCTCCAAATCATGTGATTCAGGTGCTCCAATCCCCTCCATGGACACAGGTGTATACAATCAAGCCCCTAGCCATGCAGACTGCTTCTACAAACATTGGTGAAAGAATGGGTCGCTCTCAGGAGCTCAGTGACTCCAAGCTCCTCCCACTGATACCAATGATGGGGCACTATTCCTCCCACTGACACCAACGTTGGGACACTATTGCTCCCACTGACACCAATGATGGGGCACTATTCCTCCCACTGACACCAACGTTGGGACACTATTGCTCCCACTGACACCAATGATGGGGCACTATTCCTCCCACTGACACCAATGATGGGACACTATTCCTCCCACTGACACCAACGTTGGGACACTATTCCTCCCACTGACACCAATGATGGGACACTATTCCTCCCACTGACACCAATGATGGGACACTATTCCTCCCACTGACACCAATGACGGGACACTATTCCTCCCACTGACACCAATGACGGGGCACTATTCCTCCCACTGACACCAATGATGGGGCACTATTCCTCCCACTGACACCAATGATGGGGCACTATTCCCCCCACTGACACCAATGACAAGGCACTATTCCTCCCACTGATACCAATGATGGGACACTATTCCTCCCACTGACACCAATGACGGGGCACTATTCCTCCCACTGACACCAATGACGGGGCACTATTCCTCCCACTGATACCAATGACGGGGCACTATTCCTTCCACTGACACCAATGACGGGACACTATTCCTCCCACTGACACCAATGACGGGACATTATTCCTCCCACTGACACCAATGATGGGGCACTATTCCTCCCACTGACACCAATGATGGGGCACTATTCCTCCCACTGACACCAATGACGGGGCACTATTCCTCCCACTGACACCAATGATGGGGCACTATTCCTCCCACTGACACCAATGATGGGGCACTATTCCTCCCACTGACACCAATGACACTTGCTGACCCCTGTTCCAGCATGGTGTTGCTGCAGCCAGCATATGTGGTTGCAGCAGCACCATCTGCACGGCACACTTACCAGCCGCTCCCTCACTCGATTTCCGCGGGGCTGCTCAGCTCCGCCTCCTCGCCGGTGATTGGCCGCCTGTGTGCCTTTCCTGAGCTACAGTTCTGGCGCCCAATCACCGGTGAGGAGGCGGAGCTTAGCGGCCGCGCGAACATCAAGCGGCCGAAGTGAATTAAGGAGCAGCCGCGCTTCCTGGACCGGATCGTCGTGGGACTGGGATCGGAGCCAGGTAAGAGACAGCAGCCCCCTGTCCGCCCCCGTACTGTGTCAGCACGCCGCATACCAAGGGTATAAGACGACCCCCGACTTTTGAGAAGATTTTCATGGGTTAAAAAGTCGTCGTCTTATATGCCGGAAAATACGGTAACTTAGAAATAGGAGTCAGTTCTATTGTTAGGAGTAGAGATGAGCGAATCGAACCAGGCGAAGTGGAATTCGATACGAATTTCAGGAAAAATTCGATTCGCGTCGAATCCGAAATTTTGCCTACTTCGCGTGCGCGAATCGAAATTTTCCCGATCAGCCGGCAAAAGTGTCCCTGCAGAGAGCTCCGCTATTTCTGACATTTCTCTGACAGTTCCTTCACATGTACAGCGGTTGAAACATTGTATCTATTAGTTTCCATTTAGGATACAGATGTTTCAACCGCTGTACATGTGAAGGAGCTGTCAGAGAACTGTCAGAAATAGAGGAACTCTGCACATACACTTTTTGCCGGTTTGGAATTCTTATTTTCATCCTACTTCTTCTTCTTCTTCATCCTCAGAAGAAGAAGAAGATGAGGATGAGGATGAAGAAGAAGAAGAAGAAGAAGAAGAAGTAGGATGAAAATAAGAATAATTCCAAGCCGGCAAAAAGTGTATGTGCAGAGTTCCTCTATTTCTGACAGTTCTGGGACATTCACTCCATACAGCGGTTGAAAGATTGTATCTATTTGTTTCCTTAAATGGATCCATTTATGGAAACAAATAGATACAATGTTTCAACCGCTGTATGGAGTGAATGTCCCAGAACTGTCAGAAATAGACAGAAACTGTCACAGAACTGTCCTTCTCATCCTTCTCCTTCTCATCCTTCTTCTCATCCTTCTCATCCTTCTCATCCTTCTTCTCATCCTTCTCCTTCTCATCCTTCTCCTTCTCATCCTTCTCATCCTTCTTCTCATCCTTCTTCTTCTCATCCTTCTCCTTCTCATCCTTCTCCTTCTCATCCTTCTCCTTCTTCTCATCCTTCTCCTTCTCCATCTTCTCATCCTTCTCCTTCTCCATCTTCTCATCTTTCTCCTTCTTCTCATCCTTCTCCTTCTGCTTCTCCTTCTTCTCATCCTTCTTCTCATCCTTCTCCTTCTTCTCATCCTTCTCCTTCTCCTCATCCTTCTCCTCATTCTCCTCATCCTTCTCCTTCTCCTCATCCTTCTCCTCATCCTTCGCCTCCTTCTCATCCTTCTCCTTCTTCTCATCCTTCTCCTTCTCCTTCTCATCCTTCTCCTTCTCCTTCTCATCCTTCTCCTTCTCCTTCTCATCCTTCTCCTTCTCCTTCTCATCCTTCTCCTTCTTCTCATCCTTCTCCTTCTTCTCATCCTTCTCCTTCTCCTTCTTCTCATCCTTCTCCTTCTCATCCTTCTCCTTCTCCTTCTCCTTCTTCTCATCCTTCTCCTTCTCCTTCTCATCCTTCTCCTTCTCCATCTTCTCATCCTTCTCCTTCTCCATCTTCTCATCCTTCTCCTTCTCCATCTTCTCATCCTTCTCCTTCTCCATCTTCTCATCCTTCTTCTTCTCATCCTTCTCCTTCTCATCCTTCTCCTTCTTCTTCTCATCCTTCTCCTTCTTCTCATCCTCATCCTTCTCCTTCTTCTCATCCTTCTTCTTCTCATCCTTCTCCTTCTCATCCTTCTCCTTCTCCTTCTTCTCATCCTTCTCCTTCTCCTTCTCCTTCCTCATCTCCAAGGGCATTTAAATTAAAGGTACAGTGTTCTGCACTGATTTAAAGGCTCTCTGAAGCCTAGAAACCCTTTTTATAAGTCATCTTCGTAGCGAATAAATTCGCATCGAATTGAATTTCTTCCTGAAATTCGCCGAATCAGTCGAATCGAATTTTTGAATACTTCGCTCATCTCTAGTTAGGAGATTTCAATCCTAAACAAATGTATGGCGTTCAGTGATATAGTGTATATGCCTGTCTGGGAAATGCATATAGAAACGGCTACATTTTTATAGTAGTGCACCGAAATGAAGATTCTGGACTAAAACTGAAAATTCGGGATGTACTTGGCCCGAAACCAAAACGGACAGTTTTTTTTAAAACAATGACATTTTTATATATAATTGCATTGTGTTTTGACCTTTTTTTAAAATGATATCATGAATTTAAATGAATATGAATTTATTTCTGGCACCGTTTCAGCTGCTTTCACACCGAGCAGTTTTTGAATCGCTTTTGCATGAAAAGAAAGCGCAAGAAAAATGTCTCCTTTTAAATTCTATGTATGTCTTTGCACTGGTCCATTGCGCTTCCCTTGCAGTGTTAAAAAACCTGCTTGCTGCATTTTTGGTGCATATTTAGTCAGTTAAAAAAAAAAAAACACACAAAAAACGTACCTCCCCATTGAAGGGCTGGTACACAGCGCATGCAGTCCAGTGCATTTGTTTTCTGCATCAAAAACGCATGGATAGTAGGCAATATGGTTTCCAATGGCATAGTTCACACTAGTGTGGTCAGTTCCAGTGCATTCCAGTTCCCGAAAAAAAGTAGAACATGCTGCATTTTTTCTGCAGTGCACTGTACTGGAACATGGGAAAACACATCAAAACCGCACAGGAATGCATACGGATTGTATTGCAATGGTGTGAACCAGCCTGAAATGCATTGAAAATGTGGAAAAAAATGCATATAAAACACATGTTGCATTTTTTATGTGGTTTTTGAGTCACATGACCTATGAAAAATGCACAGTTAAAGTGGTAAAATCATGGCAAGAGCGCGGCAAAATCACACGTTTTTCAGAGGCCATTACTGGCAACTTTTTTCTATCAGCAAAACGCAGTTAACTCGGTTTTTGGCTGATAATTTTCAGCGGCCAAAACATCATTGCGTCCCTTTTTATTATACATTTTTGTTATTGTGCTCTCTTCTATATATTGAGTTTTGTATATCAGAACTTTACTGCAGTTTTATGTTACTTTGAAATTACTTTTTCTGATTCTGAAGCATTGTGACATGTCTTTTTTCACTCAGGTTGCACCTTGTATGGTCATATTTCCTTTTGTTTTTGAAATTTTCTTTATTCTGTACCCTTTTTTGCATAGTTCATTTTTTAGTTCTTGAACTGAGAAGTAACAAGTAGACATATATTTTTGATATCTTACTGAAATTAAGATATACAATTGTGTTGAAAATACTAGCCGTCAGACATCACTAACCGGATCAATCACTGTTTTTGGTGGAAATGATATTTCTACATGGCAGATAATTTCCTAGCAGGTGTAGTAGAGTCATAGAAATCCAACAGACCCAACAGTCATGACATGCATGCTGCTGATTCTGTGTCATTGAATCACTCATTGAAAGGGGCGTGTTCACAATAATAGCCGTGTGGAGTTCTATTAGTGACGTCATTCATTCTTTGATAAACAGGTGGCAATTATTGCCCTTATTTAAGGAAGGAAGGCAGCAAATGTTGGACATGCTGGTTACAGGGCATTTCTCTCTGAAATTCTGAGGAAAATGGGTCGTTCCAGACATTGTTCAGAAGAACAGCGTACCTTGATTATAAAGTTGATTGGAGAGGAAAACATATAAAGAAGTGCAGAAAATGATCGGCTGCTCAGCTAAAATGATGGCAAATGCTTTAAAATGGCGACCAAAACCTGAAAGACGTGGAAGAAAGTGAAAAACTACCATTGGAATGGATAGAAGAATAGCCAAAATGGGGCGGACTCAGCCAACAATCAGCTCCAGGAAGATGAAAGAAGGTGTGACGTTCCCTGTGAGGACTCAGCCAACAATCAGCTCCAGGAAGATGAAAGAAGGTGTGACGTTCCCTGTGAGGACTGTTACAATTAGAAGACGCCGATGTGAAGCCAAGCTATCTGCAAGAAGTCCCCGCAAAGTCCCACTGTTGGAAAAAAGACGTGTGCTGAAGAGGTTACAATC